GATCTTTAAGAGGAAGATAGACGCGGATGGTAATGTGACCATCTATAAAGCTCGGCTTGTCGCTAAGGGTTATCGACAAGTTCAAGGGGTTGACTACGATGAGACTTTCTCACCGGTAGCGAAGCTGAAGTCCGTCCGAATCATGTTAGCAATTGCCGCATTCTACGATTATGAAATATGGCAAATGGACGTCAAAACGGCATTCCTTAATGGTTTCCTTAAGGAAGAATTGTATATGATGCAGCCGGAGGGTTTTGTCGATCCTAAGAATGCTGACAAGGTGTGCAAGCTCCAACGCTCGATTTATGGGCTGGTGCAAGCATCTCGGAGTTGGAACATTCGCTTTGATGAGATGATCAAAGCGTTTGGGTTCACACAGACTTATGGAGAAGCATGTGTTTACAAGAAAGTGAGTGGGAGCTCTGTAGCATTTCTCATATTATATGTAGATGACATACTTTTGATGGGAAATGATATAGAACTCTTGGACAGCATCAAGGCCTACTTGAATAAGAGTTTTTCAATGAAGGACCTTGGAGAAGCTGCTTATATATTAGGCATCAAGATCTATAGAGATAGATCAAGACGCCTCATAGGTCTTTCACAAAGCACATACCTTGATAAGATATTGAAGAAGTTCAATATGGATCAGTCTAAGAAGGGGTTCTTGCCTGTGCTACAAGGTATGAAATTGAGCTCGGCTCAAAGTTCGACCACGGCAGAAGAAATAGAAGAGATGAGTGTCATCCCCTATGCCTCAGCCATAGGTTCTATTATGTATGCCATGCTGTGTACCAGACCTGATGTAAACCTTGCCGTAAGTTTGGTAGGAAGGTACCAAAGTAATCCCGGCAAGGAACACTGGACAGCGGTCAAGAATATCCTGAAGTACCTGAAAAGGACTAAGGAGATGTTTCTCGTTTATGGAGGTGACGAAGAGCTCGTCGTAAAGGGTTACGTCGACGCTAGCTTCGACACAGATCTGGATGACTCTAAGTCACAAACCGGATACGTGTATATTTTGAATGGAGGGGCAGTAAGCTGGTGCAGTTGCAAGCAAAGCGTCGTGGCGGGATCTACATGTGAAGCGGAGTACATGGCAGCCTCGGAGGCAGCACATGAAGCAATATGGGTGAAGGAGTTCATCACCGACCTCGGAGTCATACCCAATGCGTCGGGGCCGATCAAGCTCTTCTGTGACAACACTGGAGCTATTGCACTTGCCAAGGAGCCCAGGTTTCACAAGAAGACAAGGCACATCAAGCGTCGCTTCAACTCCATTCGTGAAAATGTTCAAGATGGAGACATAGAAATTTGTAAAGTACATACGGACCTGAATGTAGCAGATCCGTTGACTAAACCTCTCCCTAGGGCAAAACATGATCAACACCAGAATTCCATGGGTGTTCGATTCATCGCAATGTAACTAGATTATTGACTCTAGTGCAAGTGGGAGACTGTTGGAAATATGCCCTAGAGGCAATAATAAAAGTATTATTATTATATTTCCTTGTTCATGGTAATTGTCTTTATTCATGCTATAATTGTGTTATCCGGAAATCGTAATACATGTGTGAATAATAGACACCAACATGTCCCTAGTAAGCCTCTAGTTGACTAGCCCGTTGATCAACAGATAGTCATGGTTTCCTGACTATGGACATTGGATGTCATTGATAACGAGATCGCATCATTAGGAGAATGATGTGATGGACAAGACCCAATCCTAAACATGGCATAAAGATCGTGTAGTTCATTTTGCTAGAGTTTTGCAATGTCAAGTATCTTTTCCTTAGACCATGAGATCGTGTAACTCCCGGATACCGTAGGGGTGCTTTGGGTATACCAAACGTCACAACGTAACTGGGTGACTATAAAGGTAGACTACGGGTATCTCCGAAAGTATCTGTTGGGTTGGCACGGATCAAGACTGGGATTTGTCACTCCGTATGACGGAGAGATATCACTGGGCCCACTCGGTAATGCATCATCATAATGAGCTCAAAGTGACCAAGTGTCTGGTCACGGGATCATGCATTACGGTACGAGTAAAGTGACTTGCCGGTAACGAGATTGAACGAGGTATTGGGATACCGACGATCGAATCTCGGGCAAGTAATATATCGATTGACAAAGGGTATTGCATACGGGGTTGATTGAATCCTCGACATCATGGTTCATCCGATGAGATCATCGTGGAGCATGTGGGAGCCAACATGGGTATCCAGATCCCGCTGTTGGTTATTGACCAGAGAGTCGTCTCGGTCATGTCTGCTTGTCTCCCGAACCCGTAGGGTCTACACACTTAAGGTTCGGTGACGCTAGGGTTGTGAAGATAAGTATATGCAGTAACCCGAATGTTGTTCGGGGTCCCGGATGAGATCCCGGACGTCACGAGAAGTTCCGGAATGGTCCGGAGGTAAAGAATTATATATAGGATGTGCAGTTTCGGCCATCGGGACAAGTTTCGGGGTACCCGGTATTGTACCGGGACCACCGGAAGGGTCCCGGGGGTCCACTGGGTGGGGCCACCTATCCCGGAGGGCCCCTTGGGCTGAAATAGGAGGGAACCCAGCCCATAGTGGGCTGGGGCGCCAGCCCCCCCAAGGCCCATGCGCCTAGGGTTGGGGGGGAACCCTAAAGGGGGCGCCCCCTTGCTTGGGGGGCAAGCCCCCCACCCCTGGCCGCCGCCCCCCCTGGTAGATCCCATCTACCAGGGCCGGCGCCCCCCTGGCACCCCTATATATAGTGGGGGAGAGGAGGGACTTGATGCCCACGCATTTGGTGCTTCCCTCTGTCCCTGTTACTTCTTCCTCTCTCGTAGTACCCGGCGAAGCCCTGCTGTCGTGACGCCCTGCATCCACCACCACGCCGTCGTGCTGCTGGATCTTCGTCAACCTCTCCTCTCCCCTTGCTGGATCAAGAAGGAGGAGACGTCTCCCGTCCCGTACGTGTGTTGAACGCGGAGGTGCCGTCCGTTCGGCGCTGGTCATCGGTGATTTGGATCACGTCGTGTTCGACAACATCAACATCGTTCTAACGAACGCTTCCGCTCGCGATCTACAAAGGTATGTAGATGCATCTCGTGACTCGTTGCTAGATGAACTCCTAGATGATCTTGGTGAAACGAGTAGGAAATTTTTTTGTTTTCTGCAACGTTCCCCAACACCGCCTCCCGTTGTGCGGCCCGCAGCCTCTCGCAAAGGGCGGCTTTTGCCTCCGACTCGGGCATTCTCATCCTCTGGGTGAGCATGGTCATGAGCACCCAATGCTGCCTAGGAGGGTAGGGGACGGGAATGGGAGGGGACTATGAGTGAGCAGAGTGGTCGAGTGTGGACTGAGAACTAGGGTTTGGTGGGCTCGTGGTGGGCTATAGTGGGCCACAACCAACGTGGTGCGTCCAGATACCCCATATCTGCTCCACATGCAAGCCGGTATGAGGGTTGTCGGATAGGCTGGACATTTGGGTTGGATTTACCTGGTCCGGCTGGGTGACAAAATCCTAACCAGGCAATGACCGGACAGCCCGCATGGGCTTTGGGGTTGATACGGGACCCTGATTGTAGATGCTCTAATGCTAGCTTTGTCTAGTAGGCGATTCCATCATACTCACTCCACTTCACAACTATTTATGTTGACCCAAACATATCTAGTATGGTCCAAAGCTAGGCACTGTTGTAATATGTGAGCAATTCCCATATAAATTAATGCGCTTTTGCCTAGGAAGAAAGTTCAAGTATTGTCAACCGTATGGTGCTACCCTGATAGCAACATTAAGATGAATTTCATCTGGCTATCAATCAAAGGTGTGTCATCTAATCGAATCAAAAGAAAGGTGTGTCATTAGATCAAAGTCCCAAAAAAGATGTGTCATTTTATCAAATTGCTCCAATATTAAGAGGGAGTGTCTAGGTCTCAGTCAATTGATAATTAACTGATTTTCAGTCCATTTACATAATTTGTTTATACAAATAGCAGAAAACATCCATCATGATTTTTTTAAAGAAAATCTTCATTTTTATGAAGAAAAAATACTGCGGTGTTTGTTTCTAGAGCTCAACAAATATGTAAACTCACACGGATCTCAACATTAAAATCGATGGTTCCGTGTCACATCATAAAAAGAGATGAATGGAGCATACAACTCACACGGATCTCAAGTCAGTCAACTGAGAATTAGTAAATCTGTAAAATTAACCCAAATGATTAGTGTCATACGTGTGGCACGAAGCACTCGGGCCGTGACGTTTTCTTCAACTAAAGTTGCCATCTAAAAATAAAAACCAAACCCAAAAGAAAACTGAAACTTGCCATCCCCGCGTCACTAACCTTGCCATCGAAAACGTTTGAAGTTGCCACGTATTCGTGCCACACGTGCGGCACTTATCAAGGTCTAAAATTAATGCTTATAAAAAGTTGATTGAGGGAATACAAATCATGTCATATGTACGAATTTGAACTCTGGCATTTTTTTTTGTTTGTTCCACCAAGCCTTTCTCCCTTTTCGTATCAGAGCCAAGAGAAATGAATCAAGTACAAATTTTAAGCTACCACAAACCTTTGAAATCTGAAGAATACTCTGGAAGGGGCTGTTCAGAAACAATGTGCCAGAAAAACCTTGTCACGGTACAAAAACGACAATCAACCAGCAGCAACCATCACAATAGGAAACGGCGCATTTCCTGAATTTCTCCCGGCCAATCGCTCAAGTAAAGTTGGTAGTGCATCCAGAATTCCAGATCATCATAACAACAATGGCGGCAAATTGCCACTCGTCTCAGCAGCAGCTAAGGCAAATTCTAACATAAGATTTCTTTCTCGATCCGTAAACTACATCCTAGTTGCTGCTGCTCGATCTCAAGAGGAAGGACGTGACGTAGCAAAATTTCCATGGCGGATTCATTCGTTCGATTCGAAGCAAGGCAATGTCGTCGTCGTTGTTGTTGCAGGCGCAGGGGATGATGATGATGATGATGATGATGATGATGATCAGTAGTGGTTCAGTACAGGCTCACCCCGAAGGACTCGCTGACGATGATGGCGACCCCCATGGAGATGGCGACGAGGGAGGCCGCCCAGGTGAGCTTCTCCGTGATCCGGGGCACCCTCTCCTTGAGCGCCTCGGTGCAGGTGCCGATGAGCACGGTGTAGCTGGCCATGGACAGCACGGTGCCCACGAGGAACATGCCGAGGAAGGCGGCCCCTGCGGCGCGCGACGGCATGGCCAGCGCCGGCAGGATGATCATGAGCGCGTCCGGCTGCAGCCCGTGCACGATCCCCGTCGCGAACGTCGCGAAGCTGATCTCCTTCTTCTTGCCGCCGGCGCCCAGCAGCGCCTTCTCCAGCGCGTTGCTGTTGTTGCCGCCGTGCTGGTGCGCGCTCGTGCCGCCCTCGAGCGCCGCGGCCACGCAGGGCGCCGCCTGGGTGGCCTCCCGGATGCCGATGGCGCCGATGACGAGCAGGGTGAGGCCCACGACGCGGGTGCCCCAGGTGCGGAGCACCTCGATGTGGAGCCGGTCCTTGAGGCCGAGGAAGAGCAGGCCGAACATGACCTGGCCGGCATCGTGGCCGCAGCCCCAGAGCGCGCCGACAGCGGCGCTCTCCACCGGCGACCGCCCGATGGAGAGCGGCGCCAGCGCGGCCAGGTGGTCCGGGCCCGAGAGCGTGTGCAGGCAGCCGGCCAGGAACCCCGTCCACGCGCTGCCCAGCAGCTCCGACTTGAAGATGCTCCGGCCCGCCGTGACGGCCGCCGAGTGGGAGTGGTTGTGCAGCGCCGAGGCCAGCGCCGGCGGCACCATGGACGACGGCCCGACTGCCGCCACCACCAGCGCCGCCACCAAGGCGACTGCCGCGGCCGACGCGACCTGTGGATTATTCCCGGCAAGAACGTAAATTTCGCCGCCTTATCATCCGTTCCACCTCTGGCTCATCGCTCGTTTGTGGCCGAGAATTCAGGTTCAGGCAATGAAGGAAACAGAGCAGAGCACTGGCGCACTGACCTTCTGGAAGAAGCGGGTGAATCCGGTGGCCGGAGCCTGCGCAGAGGCGTCGGCGGCCTCGTCATCTGGTTCCGGTGGCGCGGGATTGACGGCGTCGGCGCGGGAGGAGGCGGAGGCCGCGGCTAGGAGTGACGGAGGCGGCCTGGGGAGGAGCGGCGCGAGAGGGTGAAGCCTGAGGCCGTGGAGGGGCGCGAAGGACCTTGGCGCGGCGGCGGCGGGGAGGAGGTGGTGGTGGCCGCCGGCGCGGGGCCTGGAGGCGGAGGAGGAGGAGGGCGCGCGGGTGAGGTGGAGCGGCGAAGAGATAAGCCTGTCCATTGCGGGTGCTCGTGCTGGGGTTTCCGGTGTGGCTCAACGGAAGACAGATAATAATAAGTTTCAAAATCAAAAATGAAATAAGAATTGAAGACATATTTTGGGTTGGGCGGCTATGTCAAATGTGGGGCTGAGATGGGCCTTTTTGGCAGTGAGAAACTAATTGTCAGTTTGTTCTTTGTGGACCAGGAAAGATATCCTTTTCTAACAAAAAGTTCATATACCCCTAAAAAAAGTTCATATACCCAAAAAAGGGTCCATATAATTCTAAAAAAAGTCCACGTATACCCCTAAAAAATTCCATATTACCCTAAAAAGGTCAGTATGAGTTTGTGCAATGTAACCTTTTAAAAACTTTTAAAGTGCATGCTAACCAGTTGAAAAATGCTTTATCGGAGATTATTTCACATGAGCAATCTGTATTTGTATCTGATAGGCTCTGTTATTGCTGCTTATGAGTTCCCGCATTTCATGAAGATGTCAAGAAGTAAAGACCTACGACTCTCTTATCTAGAGAAGATCGGTTGTCCTTTCTGTTGTCCCAGCTAGCGGACTCCGACCGGAAATATTCTCCCTCCCCCCAACGGGTTTGCCCACTAGATGTTGTAGGGTGCAATCAATCCAGTCATCTGCACCTAGGTGAAGTACAAGTACACAAGTGCAGAAGTCATAAAATAACTGAATGTTCCAACAACATAACTAGAGATGTGGGTTGGTCGTTGAAGGCTCCCTCTAGGCGACTCCAAGGCGACCACCGCCGGTGGCCACTCCGGCCCCGGCGGCCACCCTTCCTACCGCCGGTGGCCACTGCTCCCCTGCCACTTGTCCCCCTAAGGGTGGCAGCCACCAACCTTTCTCCGGTTGCTTTTGCGGGAAGTGTTGCTGCTAGGATGACCATGGACCCTCCTTCACTCAACTTTGCTCGAGGTAAAGATTTCCAACTGTCCATGAGGCAAAAGTTTGGTCACCCAATGGTGTTTCGCGTGGTTTTCGTCAACGTGAGTTCTCTTTGGTGGTTTCTTTCTGCCGTGCTCTTTTTCAGTTGGATTGTCACACGGTTAGTGTCACATTGCAATCATGTTTTGGTGGCTATCCTCAAGGTTTCCGTGTGCTACACCTCAAGGACAGAACGTTCAAGTTCTCTGTTGCCTCAAAACTAGTAGGTTTTGAGATCTATAATCATGGCCGGGTAGTGGAGAAGGATTTTGAGTTAGTTTTCAATCTTTGGGGCTTTGGAGGACCTAATTGGCTACGTGAAGAACAACTTTACTATCGCGAGGAAGAAGCTTCTTGGACTAGAGTTGTCAATGGATCGCGTCCGCGATCTGTCGCCGGCAGAGTCTCCGGCGATCAACCACGGTAGTCAGTTTTTGCTCGTTTAGCGGATATTCCGACCACCAGCAATAATGTGGTCACAGACTTTAATGTGCCCTTAATGCCCCATATTACCCCCTCAAGAGAGGATCACGCAGTGACTGCAGCAGGCGGGAATTTGGGTCGTTCAAATAACTCGTTCCAATGCTATGCGTGTGGCAAGATGGGCCATTTTGCTCGGGAGTGTCGTGACACTCGCCTTCTTGGGCTCTATCCTTCTCTCAGGTTTGCTACTTTCCCCAGCCCACCTAATGAGGCCTGAGACATGGATGTGGTCCAGGATTGGTTCAAGTCCGTTGGCCCGGCCTGCGACCCTTCGCGAGTTTCCTCTTTTCGCGAGCTATGTATGGGATCTTTTCCTAATTTTCAGCCTCGTCCACCTCTTGCCTCCTCAACTTCTACGCTCTGCTCCTCTGTTTCACCACCCTGCCCAAACCCCGCTCCCGTCACCTTGAGCTTGACTGCGCCGGCGAGTGTTCATTCTGCGGTTCCGATGGCCAACATCCCGATTGACCCGCGTCCTTTCGTGCCCCATGGCTTCGACATTCAGCAGGCCCCTGGCCGCAATGGTGTGGCTAGGGTGGTGCTGCCACAGCGTCCTCGTTGCCATGAAGATTGGGCGATTGCGACCATCCATCCTCTCCCCGCCGATGCTCCATTCCCCAATGTAAGAGATGTTCTTGAGGAGTTTATTGTTGAACATAGGCAGTTGGGGTTGAGGGACGTTCAGTGCTGCCCGTTCGGAGAGGCCTATGTTCGGCTCACAAGGGTTAGAGACATGGATAAGTTGGTACTAGATAGTCCTCATGAGTTTGGTGATGTGTTCATTACTTTCGTGAAGCACGATGAGGGCAGAAATCCCAGGAGGGTTCATTTTAACAGAACTGTTTGGCTGCTTCTGACGGGAGTTCCGTTTGATTTTCGTTACACTGAATATTTGGCTTGTGCTGTCAGTAAGTTCGGCCGCATGATATCCTGGGACAAGGAGGATGATCACATGGGGCGTATTGTAGTCAAGGCTAGAGTTATGAACCTAGATATCATTCCTAAAAGTATGCGTTGGTCGGAAGGAGATGAATTTGAGGAGGATGGCTGGTCTTCCTCCATTGAAGTGCTGGCAAGTGAGCTCCTTGGTGGTGGTCCTGCAGATGAGGATCCTATTCCTCCTGACAATGTGGACCCCCACCCTCTCCTTGAAGATGCTGAGCCTGCTCATGATTTTCATGATGATGCTGCCAACAATAATGATATGGATGCTCAGGATGCAGAGAATTGGGATAACCGGGAAGAAAATCAACAGAATCAACAAAATGCTGACCTTGGGGATCTTTTGGATGCTATGTAGCAGGAAGAAATGGCCTGGGCAGATGGAGAAGAACTGCATCCAGCACCAAGTAATAGCAGTATATCCTCAGACATGTCTTTCTCTGAGGGAGACAACACAAATATGCTTATGGCCTATGTTGCAGTGGAGGCTATCCCTCCTAGGGAGGCAGTGCCTGCTATTATACCTCCCCCTGCCATGGTGTTTGCTAATGGGCTGCAGAACATAATTCAAGCATACCAGTCAGATGATGAGGACCCTCCTTTATTGCAAGAGAACATCCAGGGTGCTGCTTTGGTTGGTACTGTTTTGCATTATCAAGTTAATGTTCAGGTTGTTGCAGAACAACTGTAACATGTTGCTTGCAACAGTCATGGAGCAAATGCCTTTGCTGATGTTTCTGCATCTCCCAATATGGATCATGTCCCACATGTGCTGCTAGAAGTTGCATTGGAGTCTGCCTTGGTCCCTGATCCACCTCTAGATGTTGTGTCAATTGATGGGAAGCTAAACCTTCACATGCTAGTGGACCTTCAATTGAAATCCTGGCCTGTAGTTCTGGACATGTTAATACTGCTAGGGGAAGCTTGCAGCGAGTGGAGAACATTGAGGATCTTCAGTCAGGGTTACAAGGTAATTGGGTTACTCAAATAAATGAACATTTTAGCATGGCTCCTTCTCTTCTTGGTTTGAAATGTATTCAGATGGCTGCTGCTACTAATAATGATCATTCTGTTTCTGAAGAAGGCATGCTACTGTGGAAACAACACTTTGAGGACCAATCATTGGAAAATAGGAGCTCTTTCTCTACCAACATTCCTGTAAGTTGGTTTAATTTTATTGTTCACCTGCTTCTTTCCCCTGATAAGTTTGCCTGGACTGTTACTATGCTAAAATCTGGAATGTGGGAACTGTTCACTGCTGTGGAAAATATGGATCAAGCCTTCATGTTTCATATACCTGACAAGTGTCCTACCTCTCATGCACCTATTTGTCAGGCCGTGGAGGATGAGGTCAAGGACAAAGAAAATATTGGTGTGGCTGCCAATAGGCAGGATGTGGAGTCCCAGGCCCTGTTGCAACCTTTTGGTCAAGATAACTTGAGGAAGAGAAGAAATGGAAAGACTCCACTAGTGGAAACAGAGGTAAGGAGAAGTGATAGAATCAAGAAAGACAATGCTGGTTACAAAAGAAACTCCTGCTCTAATAATAATTGCTTACCTTGCAATGTTGTGCCTCCCATCATACAAAAATCAGTTGTTAAAAACCTCACTGCCTCTTTCTGTAAGGTTGCTGAGGGGGAGCTGGAGGACAAGCTGGCCAAGAAGCCCAAGAGAAGGCAAGAGGATGTTTTGGACAAGGTGCCCTTGGCCAAAGGAGATGGACATACCTCCAACTCTTCATAATGTTTATGTCTCTTACTTGGAGTACCGTGTGGAGGGTGTGTGTTTGTGGTTCCCCACCTAGTTTGATACTGCTTTCGATTGATGTAAGACTTGGATATTGGCACTGTTTGAACTCTATATGTCTGGTGATGTACTATCCCATTACTACTTCTTTGTTGTATGTCTGGCTACTCTACTGGATATGTGTTGTGCTGTGGATCAGGGTTTTGTACAACTTTCTTTTATGTGTGGAAGATCAAGTGCTGGCACTTGACCTCTGGTATAAAATAATTATGTGTTTGCATGAATAACACAAACAAAAGCTGGAATATTCTAAATTGGAACATTAGAGGAATAAATTCTGAGGACAAATGGCTGGCCTTAAGGCCGAAAATTGATGAGAGTGACTGCAACATTTTGTGTCTTCAAAAAACCAAGAGAGAGACTTTTGACACATCTTAATTAATTTTTTTTGCCCTTCCAGACTTAACAAATTTGCCTTCCTGCCCTCAGTTGGGGCTTCTGGGGGTCTCCTTGTGGCTTGGAATGGCTCTCAGTTCTCTGGGGAAGTCATTGCACAAAATAGGTTTTCTCTTTCATTGCAATTTACTAGTCTGCTCTCCAATCAGTCTTGGATTATTTCTAATATTTATGGGCCATGTGATCCACAAGATAAAATTGAGTTTATTAACTGGTTCCTGAATATTCACATGCCTGATGATGTTGACTGGATTCTAATGGGAGATTTCAACCTTATGAGGGCACCATCAGATAGGAACAGACCTGGGGGAGATGTCAATGACATGCTTATGTTTAATGAGGCTATCAGTAATCAAGGTTTAATTGAATTACCTCTGCATGGCAGAAAGTTTAGTTGGAGTAACATCCAACATGATCCTCTGTTGGTAAAACTTGATTGG